AAAAATATTTGTAATTAATATTACTGTATTCGTTGCTAAATTACTGTCTGCGGCAGTTATTTAACTGTCGGAGACAGTAATTTAACTGTTAATTGACTTTGTTATTCTTAAAAAAAAATATTTTTAATTAATATTACTGTATTCGTTGCTAAATTACTGTCTCCATCAATTATTTAACTGTCGGAGACAGTAATTTAACTGTTAATTGACTTTTTTATTCTTCAAAAAAAATATTTTTAATAAATATTATTGTATTCGTTGCTAAATTGCTGTCTCCAGCAGTTATTTAACGAGTAAACTGCAAAAGGTACCCCTGTGTAATCTCAAACTAGCAAAAACCCCCCTGTGATAAATAAACTAGCAAAAACCCCCCTGTGTTTTTTTTTAAATAGCACACTTGACCCACTACCAATTTAAGGGCTGACCTTGTGTAAATTGACAAAAAAAACCCTGTGAAATATCTATTTTTATAGTATTAAAAAAAGCACAAATGAGATATTTAAATTCTTATTTTCTAATGTTCTAACTATTTTATTTTTTTATTACTGATAAAAAAACTAATTTTATTTTTGTTATATCTTGTATTTAAAAAAATGGAAAGGGGTTTTTTTATTTTTAAAATTATCATATAATTTCTTTATAACTTTTAAATTATTCCTACACTAAATTATGTAAAAGAAAAAAAAAAATTACAATATTATGTATATGTTTATTGACGATTTTTTTTAATATAATATTTCCATTTAATTTGTATACTAAATTTTTAATAATCAGAAAAAATCAAGAAAATCAAAAAAAAAAAAAAAAAGAAAAAGAAAAATCGAATCATCATCATCTTCAACGATTTGAATCCCGATGCCATCTCCAACACCACCACCATCGTCTTCCCACTTAATTATTCAATCCCAACCAGCAAAAACAAACTAGAAAATTCTATCTATTTTTTTTTTCAAGATCCAAAACAAAACAAAACAAAAATTAAAAACAGTGGTAAAGAAGCTAGTTTCTGCAAACCTTGCAACAACACAAAAAGAAAATCCACAAAATCCGTTGAACACGAACACAAGAAGAAAGGCTCGAACGCCAGTTTGTAATCGGGGTTGTAGGGCTCCGCTAGGCTCCAATTGCCGCCGCCGCCGAAGAGGGCTTCCCAGGTCCCCCAATTTCTGGAAGCTCCTTCGATCGTCAGCGCCCTTGTTCGTCCTCACGAAGTGATCGAGCCTGGACTTTGCGCGACGGCTATGGTAGAGCAGCACAGCGGAGCAGCCGATGTGGAGGCTGTGCTGCGGTAGTGGGAGGACGCTGGTCGAATTGAAGTCGGGAAGATGGAGATTAAGGTTTTGTGTAGGATTTTTCGGAAAAATCATGAAATTACATATTAATAAAATTTGGGGGGTAATTATGTAATTTCAGATCTAAAAATTCGTCACCAGCTGCACACTCGGCGAGTGTGCAACACGAAAATGCACTAGGGGGGTTTTTGCCTTTAACAAATTTTCATAGGGGGGTTTTTGCTAGTTTATTTATCATAGGGGGGTTTTTGCTAGTTTGAAATTTCACAGGGGTACTTTTTGCAGTTTACTCGTTATTTAACTGTCGGAGACAGTAATTTAACTGTTAATTGACTTTTTTTTTTATTTTTTTATTTTTTTCCTTACAAAAAAATTTATTTTAATTAATATTACTGTCGGATGTTATATTACTGTCTCCAACATTAATTTAATTGTCTTAGACAATAATATTAATAATATTACTGTTCGGAAAAATAATATTCATAATATTACTGTCCCAAACAGTAATATTACTGTCAGAGACAGTAATTTAGTAGTCAAGACAGTAATATTAATTAAAATATTTTTTTTCTAAGAAAAAAAAATTCAAAAAAAAAAAAAAAAAATCAACGCCGGAGACCGGCGGTCAACGGTGGTTGACCGGCCGGAAAAAAATTCAGGAAAAAAAAATTTAAAAAAAAAAAAAAAAAAAGTCAACGCCGGAATCTGGCCGGAAAAAAAAAACTTTTCAGAAAAAAATTTATTACCTGAAAAAAAAAATTGGGGGTTTATGTGATATATTTCTTTAAATCCGTGGTCAATGTGTAATATTAAGGAAGTTAGAGCATAATGGGTGTAATTGTCACGAATTATATTATCGAGGGTATTTTAGACTAAAGACATGGGGATGGGCTTAATTGAGAGACTGTTTTTTTTATGGACTAAAATGCATTTAAGTCCCATGTGATGGGCCTTTTTGCCATTTGCCCATATTAAAATTGCAATAATAAACTCATAATTCATGAATATTCCATGTTAATACTTAATAGTAATTCATTATAATAATCAGTTATTGAGAAATCCAACCAAGAAAAACAAAGTGTAGATTTATTCCAAATGGTATTCTTGGAAAGGGCACTTGTTAAATCCGAGTGTAAGAAATCAACATGATTTTGGACGATTTTGTCCAAGAAAACTCAAAATCCGAAAACCCGAAAATCCGAAATTGAACCCGAGACCAGAGTTTCAAGCAAATTCCAAATGAAAGTTGTAAATAAATGATCAGATCTACCCCGGACATAAGCTCAATGCTAAATAATACTAGGACAAATTAAGACCACCGAGGTAAAGTCAAATTACAAAATAACCCCTCATATTTTTATAATTGCAAGTACTCCTCAACTATCTCAACTACTCCACCCCTTCCATTTCAATTATTTTTTTGGGCTAATTCACACATATTGATGATGCTAAAATATAGCTCACCTAGGGTGGTGTAGAAAACGAGCTGGGAGAGCAAAGCGGATCAGTAGCTTGACAACTTGATGATCCTGAGGTCCCTGCGAAATGAACACACGTGAACTACGCCGGGGGTTGATCCAGCGGAAACCCCTCCGACGCTCAAGTCAGATATACGGATTGCGGAGATGGTAGAGAGAATCAAATTCTAGCTTGTTGGTGAAATAATGAAAACGTACCTTTACAAATGAGCAAAACATCTATTTATATGTCGTTGATTGAGTTGAGCTTACTCTGTTGGGCCCAAGCCTTACATTGAAGGTGCTTGAGCTTTCGTGTAATGGGCCCGAATACTTTCGTGTATTGGGCCCAATTATTAAATAAATTGGGACCCATTGGGTCGGCCCAATTGGGGCCCATTGGGCCGGCCCAATTAGGTATATCACATATTAAGAACGCAAATAAATGTGCATGTGTTCTAGAAAAATCATAATAAAATGACTAAAAGACCACTTTTATTAAATGTTTAACCATTAATTCTCTTAATAGTAATAAGGGCATAGTTGAGAAAACACAATAAATACTTCATTAAAATCCTAAAGTGACAATTATTTTAAATGAAAAAATTTCTCTAGAAAGACAATTAAAATAGAATGAAGGGAGTATGTATTATCTTATGGAAAAATCCTTAAGTTGATAAATTCAGGGGCGTCCATTTGATAAATTGTACATAAATTTGATTAAAAATATTTAAAAAAATTATTTATTTTTAATTAATTTTGGTTTAAATACAAATATTACGCATATAAATACATTTATAAAGTAAAATAAAACCGAATACCACACCGAACTAACAATTTAGTAATCGACATTTACGAAAAAAAATCGGTTTGGTTCGATTCGAACGGTTTTACTGACCGGATAAACATCAGTAAGTAAATTTGACATTGTAAAGGTGGACGTATAAGACAATACACAGCCAATGGGTGATTATAAATTTATAATTATACAAACAAGAGGGGTATGTTCGTAATTATACATTCCCTTGGGGGTATTTCACAATTTGTATCTTCCTAATCACGTAGAGGTGGTTTAGCCGTGTGGGGCCGAGGTATGTGGGACCCACCTTTTTAGAAAGCGGAAAAAGGAAAAACAAAAGCGCACTAGTATAAAAACACGACAAACACCTCTCAAAAAACCTGTCTGAATCTCACAATATTCATCAATCTGAAAAAAAAAAACACAGATACTAAATTTTTTTTGTGGCGATTCATATCAGCAAATTAAATGGAGACAGTTAATTCATTCAAGGGCTACGGTAAAGTAGACGCGCTAGAGGAAGCAGCTTTCAGAAGAAGAACCCGAAAGCGCGTGATCATACTCGCCGTCTCACTGGTTCTGCTGGTGGTGCTGATTGTCGGAGTTGTCGCCGGAACTGTAGCTCACCGCCGCAGCAAGGGCGGAGTTCCGGCGACGCCCACCTCCACGTCAGCCGCCATTAAGTCGGTCTGCAGTGTGACGCAGTACCCGGACTCTTGCTTCGCCAGCTTGGAATCTGGCAACAGTACAAACCCTGGGAATATCTTCAAGCTCTCGTTAATGGTGGCCGTCGATTCTCTGAAGAGGCTTTCCGCCGCTTTCCCCGGCGAGTACGCCAACAGGACGGACAAGCCGCTCGTGAAGGAGGCGCTGAGGGTTTGCGCCGCCGTGCTGAGCGACGCCGTCGATTCGCTCGACGACACCATCTCCTCCGTCGACGGCGGCGGTAAGGCGGGGGTGGTGTCGAGAATCGACGACTTGAAGACGTGGCTGAGCACCGCCGTGACTGACCAGGAGACGTGCCTCGACGCGCTGGAGGAGGCGAAGGCCCCCTTCCTGGAAGAAATCAAGCTCCTCGCGAAGAACTCGACGGAGTTCGCCAGCAACAGCTTGGCCATCGTGTCCAAACTCCTCGGACTTCTCGGAGATTTCGATATTCCGTTCAACAGGCGGCGGCTGCTGGCGGCGCCGGCGGGATTTCCGGCGTGGGTTGCGGCGAGGGAGCGGAGGCTGCTCCAGGAGTTTCGGCCGAAGCCGGACGTGACGGTGGCGGTGGACGGCAGCGGAGATGTGGCGACGATCAACGAGGCGGTGGCGAGGATCCCGAAGAAGAACCTAACGAAATTCGTGATATACGTCAGGGCCGGCGAGTACGTGGAGAATGTGGAGCTGGTGAAGTCGATGTGGAACGTGATGATGTACGGCGACGGTAAAACCGCCACCATTATCTCCGGCAGCAAGAACTTCATGGACGGCACGCCGACCTTCTCCACCGCCACTTTCGGTGAGTTAAAAATCAATTAATTCACTCATTTAACATCTGATCGATAGATTTTTATCATTCATATACACACAAACACACACACACATTGTGTCAACGGTAAAAAAAAATTACGGCGATACAGTCTTCAGTGGGTGTAGCATAGAACGAAGCTCGTATTTCTCCATCTACATCATTGATTGCACATGACACATTATTTATTTCCTTTAACTAATATAATATTCTTTTCGTTTTTCTTAAAGGGACTTTAATTAATTAGTTAGATGCATGCCGAATGTAGGACTAAATTAGTTAATAGTTAATAATACAAAGGTATGAAATGAGAATTAGGGAAAGTTGTGGGGCCAAATATGTAAATTGTGCCGGAAATTGTGGTGGGCGAAGAAACAAAGGCATGTGAAACTGAGCTTATCCTTAAAAATTAGGACATCCCCTTAACCAGAAAGACCACATTGTCTTGATTTGATATTGCGCCAAGTGCCATGTGGTTTGCTGCATTATTGTACCCACCCACTAAAAATAGTTTGAATGTTTTTTTCTTTTTGTTCTAAGTTCAACATTTTTCAGATCCCCCACCATGTGCATTTAATGTTTATTCTTTGTTCAAAATCGAATTCCCATTTTAAATAAAAATAAAAATAAAAAATAATATTGTGGTTGACGTCCTGAACTATTTTTTCTCGTTGTTTTGAATTTTTTATTTTTTTATTTTTTTAATAATTATTTAAACTGGAAGGAGTGACTTTTTAGTAATTTTCAGACTTAGATCTAACGGTATTAAGGTCAAAGGTCTGAAAAACTAACGGCGAGGGCCACATTGAGAAAAAATTTCAAGTACATAGGAGCAAATCGATGCAATTGAAAGTAGAAGGGGATAAAGTGATATCGAGTCAAATTACAAGGGGAAAAGTGGAATTTACACTTTCTTTTTAACCTAAATAATATTGTTCGAAAATTAATAGATAGATATCACACATTCTTTCTTTAATCTCATATGATCAAGAATAAGATTGGTTGATAAAAAAATATTAACTATGCATTGTCCTTCTTTTCTTCGCCAGCCGTCGCCGGAAAAGGGTTCATCGCCCGAGACATAGGGTTTAGAAACACCGCCGGAGCGGAAAAGCACCAAGCGGTGGCCCTCCGGTCCGGCTCCGACATGTCGGTCTTCTACCGGTGCTCGTTCGACGGCTTCCAGGACACGCTCTACGCCCACTCCAACCGCCAGTTCTACCGCGACTGCGACATAACCGGGACCATCGATTTCATCTTCGGGAACTCCGCGGTCGTCTTCCAAAACTGCAACATCATGCCGAGGCAGCCTTTGTCCAATCAATTCGTCACGATCACCGCGCAGGGCAAGAAAGATCCGAACCAAAACACCGGGATGTCGATCCAACGGTGCACGATGAGCCCGTTGGACAATCTAACGGCCCCCACCTATTTGGGCCGGCCGTGGAAGGATTTTTCGACTACGGTTATTATGGAGACTTCTATTGGTGGATTCTTGCATGCGAAAGGATGGATTTCGTGGGTCGCGAATGTGGACCCGCCGAGCACGATTTTCTACGCGGAGTATCGGAATACCGGGGCTGGAGCGGGTACGGGTGGGCGGGTTACGTGGGCCGGGTATAAGCCCGATATTACGGCGGCCCAGGCCTTGAAATATAATGTGGGCTCATTTATTGAAGGTTCTTCATGGCTGCCTGCTACTAGTGTGGCATTTGATTCTACCTAGTGATTTAATTGTGTACTAGTTTCTCTATACTTTTTTTTCTTGTAAAATTAATTTGGTTACACACTTTACTTTAATTTGATGATTAAAAGTTGCAATTTTGGTATGTGTTCTTTTTTCCTCTTTTTATCAACTATCCATTGTGCTATCCATAGAAAATAGGGCAAATTACGACCGCCGTCATTGATGTAAGATTAAATTATGAAAAGAAATCATCGTGTTTTGAAAATTACAATCAGCTCTTCAATTGTGTATTGTCTAGTGAAAAAATCTCTCATTCAGTAGGAAACGTGTAAAACATAGTTGAATAAATGGTTTTAAATTGTAATTATGCAAATAAGAGGAGTTGTATTTGTGATTAGATTTTAGTATCGGGGTTGACCGCAACTTGCCTTTGAATATAACATCTAAAAAATAAGAGTTTCAACTTTAATTTAAACATAGACTCAATTTTTAGAATAAAAAGTACAGCTAATTGTCAATTAATGTTGGCAACGTATATTGAAAGGAACTAGCACCTGCCCTCTAGATTAGAGGCTCACTTCTCTATAAATAAATTTAAAAAGACATTTATTATTATTATTATTATTATTATTATTATTATTATTATTATTATTATTATTATTATTATTATTATTATTATTATTATTATTATTATTATTATTATTATTATTATTATATTTATTATTATATTTATTATTATTATTATTATTACTAGTAATCGTAGTCACATTCAACAAAGGAAAGAAAGTAATTGTTTAAATAAATAATAGTACAAATTTTAATAAAAAATCTTTAATATTGAAATATATATATGTATTACGCTGCTATTACCTTATTTTATTGGAGCATGTATTTTTCTTTTTCTTCCTACAATAACTATATAAATATATATACACCGAGTGTCAATATATAAAATATATGTTAAACGATAAATAACAAATTTAACAAAGGGGACGACTATTTTAAATACTAATTGTTTCTCACTTTAGTACCGCCTAAATAATAAATAAGTAATGACATCTATACTATTAATGAAAATCCGTATCACACAAAAATAAAAAAATCTCATTTTTCTTTCTTTAATACCACACACACAAACCCACCCCCCTGTTTCTTCTTCACAAACATTCCCTCCCACTCGTGTTTCTTCTCCTTTTTCTCTTTTTTTTTCTTCTTCGTTTCCCCCTACTTTTACTTCCTTCTTCTTCTTTTCCTCCTGATTCTTCGTTCTTCTTCTTTATTGTTCTTCTTCTTCTTCTTCTTCTTCTTCTTCTTCTTCTTCTTCTTCTCATTCTCCTTCTCTTCCTTCTCATGCTCCTTCTTGTTTGCTTTCTTATTTCTCTCCTTATTCCTCCTCCTTCTTCTTCTTCTTCTTCTTCTTCTTCTTCTTCTTCTTCTTTTCCCCATCCCCCTTCTCTTCCTTCTCCTGCTCCTTCTTGTTTGCTTTCTTCTTCTTCTTCTTCTTCTTCTTCTTCTTCTTCTTCTTCTTCTTCTTCTTCCTCCTCCTCCTCCACCTCCTCCTTCTGCTTCTGCTTCTACTTCTACTTCTACTTCTGCTTCTCCTTCTGCTTCTCTTTCTCTCATTCTCCTTCTCCTTCTCATTCTCCTTCTCCTTCTCATTCTCCTCATCCTCCTCCTCCTCTCTTGCTGCTCCTCATTGTGCTCCTCCTCCTACATCCTCTTCCTTCTTCTTCTCCTCATCCTTCTCATTTTGCTTCTACTTCTGCTTCTCTTTCTCTCATTCTCATTCTCCTTCCTCCTCCTGCTCCTCATCCTTCTCCTCCTCCTCCTCCTCGAGCTCCTCCTCCTCCTACTTCTCCTCCTCGTTCTCCTTCTCCTTTTGTTTCTCCTCATGCTTCTCCTTTTCTCCTTCTCCTTCTCATTCTCCTTCTCCTTCTCTCCTTCTCCTTTTTCTTCTTCTCTTGTCCATCTTCATCATCTTCTTGTTCTTCATCATCTCCTTCTTCTTCTTCTTTTTGCTGTTTTTTTTCTTGCTGAAAATACAAACATAAATCTCATATTTATACTAATAGGAATTAAGTACTGTTTAGATATATGAAAATACATAAAGACTAAATTCATTGTTCTTCAAGATACATCTTTAATTATCCAAATTCAGGAACTTCACTTTCTAAATGTCAAATAGTCAGATTCACCTTATTTTAAGTTGAATTATCCAACATAGCCTCAAATGAAATAAGAATACATATCTCGTTCCATATGTTGATGATACACAAATAGACCACCAAAAACAAAATTTCACGAATTAAGATAGTATTTACTTGGTTGTGGGGTGTTAACATTTGGCTAATTAGTAATCATAATGCAAGAGTCTTATGTTTATTTCACATAAAATGATCTTTTTCTTTGAATATGAAGAATCCACATTTGAAATAAAGCTAAAACCGAGTCAGAAGTAATCTATTGTTGTAGAAGAAAAAAAATTATGAATAAATTTAATAACCTCTTTTTTTTTTTTTTTTTTTTAAATGTTGTGATATTGCGCCAAAAGAACCAAAAAATAGGGGGAATATGAAAATTAAAAATACATCACATAATATATAAATGTCATAGTAGATTTATGAAAATTAAAAATACCATGGTCAACCAAATAATGAAAGAGATGAATATTATCTGTAAGTATATGGCTATCACACGGGGAGTCATTGTGAATGGAAATTATGCCTGAGTTGTACAAAAAAATCAAAATCGTTAGCAACTATTATGTGATGTAAAATTTAAACATATGATAAAAAAAAAATTTAAATAGATAATTGTATTGTTTACCTGTAGAAATCAATTGCTTATGTTCTAAGATGTTGTAAAACGAAGAAGAAAACGAACAAAATTTTAAATGAGCAAGAAGAAGAAGCTTGGCAAAAAAAATGTGATTTTTTGTGGAGTTCTCATGAGTTTAAATAGATTAGTGGGATCGGTAGGGGTTAAGATCATGGTATGATAACTTCTACCATGATGAGTTAGTGGGTGGTTAGAGTGGAAAAGAACAATAAAAAAAATATATAAATAATTAGAAACATACCTACGGTATATGCAAGTATAGGAGTTAGTGTTAAATTAGAAATTTATTAATTAGTGTTTAAATTATACATTTATTAATTTACAAAATTATCCCTAGGTTTAGATCTAGGTTTTAGTTCAAAATATCTTCCTTTTATATATAAGATTATTATTATTATTATTATTATTATTATTATTATTATTATTATTATTATTATTATTATATTTAGTTTTATTATTTTTTACGTTTGAACGGTTTTAATGCATTGATTTATTCTAGACTTTTGAACCGGATCCCCTTCAATAGACGAACAGCCAAATTTGACAATTTGGGGACAGAAATTCTTAAGCAGCCTCCTCTTCTTATTACAAGCTATTATCCTATAGTGTAGATATATTCAGTGCATCAATATAATTAATTATCTGCAAATTCCTTAATTACCAAATAAAAAGTAATAAAATAAATATTGTAGTATTTTTATTAGAAAAATAACTTCCCTTTAATTGAAAAATTGCAAAGACAAGATTTTTACTAAATCCAACACACACACACACACACACACACACATCTGGAATGATGCGAATGTGATGTTGCCACTTTGTTTGATTTTATTATTTGATTTTGATTTTGCAGACACAGGAATTATTAAAAGATTTAAATGGGCCCCATATACAGTTACATTTCCATTTCCGCGTCGTAGCGTACAATCCCATTTCTTCATCTTCTCTAAAAAAAATCTAATCTTTAATCTCTCTCTCTCTCTCTCTCTCTCTCTCTATCTGCGTTTCTTTCTCTCTCTTCATCTTTCTTCTAATTCCATGGCTTCCACTCCGATCACTATCGACACTATTAACCCCAAGGTGATTCATTTCTTCCATTTTCAAATCTCCCTGTGATTTCAGCGTACAAATCTCATGTTTCTTTTTATTTTTTATTTTATTTTTTAATTGATAAAAATGATTGTTGTTAGTGTTTTTAATTACTTTATGTGTGCGTTTGTCTTTCTATATTGATAGTGTGTATCAGGTCTTTTTTCATCATCGCCTTTCATTCATGTTTAAAGTATATATATATATATATATATATATATATATATATATATATATATATATATATATATATATATATATATATATATAATTTTGTTAACTAAAGTAACATCCAAAGTAATTTATTTATATTCCAGGTTTTGGAGTGTGAGTATGCAGTTCGTGGCGAAATCGTCATCCTTGCTCAGGTATATATAATCAATTATATATCTATACATACATACATATGATCATACATATATATATATAATCTTGTGTGTATAATTTTAATATTCCCCTGTTTTGGTGAAAAGAAAATACAAGAAGAACTGAAGAACAACCCCAATTCTCATCCTTTTGATGAGGTAATCTATATATATATATCCATTTCAATTATATAATACATTCATTAAAAGATTATTTGTTAATTATTTGTCTTAATTACTTCGTCGTAGATATTGTACTGCAACATCGGAAATCCGCAATCCCTTAGCCAACAGCCAATCACCTTCTTCAGAGAGGTATCATTCATTTATATATATGATGTCATCATTCTAGAAAGTAGTATGATATGTTGTAAAATCTTCACTTGTAATTTCCAGGTTCTTGCTTTATGTGACCATCCTGCTATTTTGGGTAAATCCGAAACACGGGTTTTATTTAGGTACGTCGATTCGTAATAGCGCCCTACTATCTGCATATTGTTGATGATCATATTTGTTTTGGGAATATTAGATTTTCTTGAATAGATTTAATACTGACGATATACTCATGTGCAATATTCTTGTGGATTATGTAGTGGCGATTCGATAAAACGAGCGTCTCAGATTTTAGATCAGATTCCTGGGAGAGCAACCGGTGCGTATAGTCACAGTCAGGTAACAATAATATAGCCTACCCTCGAAACAAACACATTCTTCACGAGAGCGTATATATAATTGTATATATAATATCGAACATTTGCCATTTATATTCTATAATAAAAAAATTCAGGGTATCAAAGGGCTGCGTGACACAATTGCTGCTGGCATCGAAGCCCGGGATGGATTCCCGGTTGATCCGAACGATCTTTTCTTGACAGATGGCGCAAGTCCAGCGGTTCATATGATGATGCAGCTATTGATAAGGTCGAAGAAAGACGGCATTCTTTGTCCGATTCCTCAGTACCCTCTTTATTCTGCTTCGATTGCGCTCCACGGAGGCACTCTTGTAAGTTTTATTACATGTTAAATACGTCGAAATTAAATAGTATGTCGACCTTGTGAAATTTCTGATATACACGTCTTTTAATATTTTTGACAGGTTCCGTATTATCTAGACGAAGCAGCTGGATGGGGAATGGAGGTATCGGAGCTTCAGAAGCAGTTAGAATCGGCAAAATCGAAGGGTATTATCGTCCGAGCCTTGGTGGTTATAAACCCTGGCAATCCCACAGGGCAGGTAGATAAACAACTTCTCGATTCTTGTTCGGCTAATTGCGTTTTCTTGATATTTGATTCGTCGTTTGATATATATTATTTAATAATATTGCTTGTCCTAAAAGGTTCTGGCTGAGAAAAATCAAAAGGAAATCGTTGATTTCTGCAAAAGGGAAGGGCTTGTTCTTTTGGCAGACGAGGTGAGGAATCGGATTCTCGAAATCACACGAATCGTAGATTCGATTTTTCGAAATTTCGTTTGTTCGCGATTCAGAAAATATGTCAAAAATGTTTTTTTTTTTCAGGTATATCAAGAAAACGTTTACGTGCCAGATAAGCAGTTCCACTCTTTCAAGGAAGTAGCCAGGTCGATGGGCTACGGAGACAAAGATATTGCTCTAGTATCTTTCCAGTCCGTGTCGAAGGGTACTTTCGTAAATTCACATCAATTATTACGTAGCCCTCGATCTTAGCTAACAAGCTTTTTATCTTTCTTGATCACTTTCGTTCAGGTTACTACGGAGAATGTGGAAAGAGAGGAGGTTACATGGAGATCACCGGTTTTAGTCCCGAGATTAGGGAGCAAATATACAAATTAGCATCGGTTAATCTTTGTTCTAATATATCCGGTCAGATTCTCGCAAGCCTTGTAATGAACCCTCCAAAGGTTATACACTTCTACTTCTTTATTGTCCGATTTCAGACACCTGTAATATATATTTTCTTGAAATTACAAAAAATAATTATACAGGTGGGAGACGAATCCTATGATTCTTATTTCGCGGAGAAAAACGCAATCCTATCATCACTAGCGAGGCGGGCTCAAGTTAGTATGAATAGAGTATTTTTTGTTAAAGGTTATTAGTTTATTTTTTTATTACATTAACCTCGATTTTTTTTTTCCGATCGTACAGAAACTGGAAGATGCGTTTAACGGATTAGAAGGAGTGAGCTGCAATCGAGCGGAAGGAGCAATGTATTTATTTCCTCGAATTGTTTTGCCAAACAAAGCCTTGGAAGCTGCAAAGGAGGCTAAAACGGCACCCGATGCATTTTATGCTCGTCGTTTACTTAACGCAACTGGTATAGTTGTTGTTCCTGGTTCTGGATTTGGACAGGTAAATTAAACTTAACTGAAACCATATTATTATTAACTGTTCTGTAATTAAACTAAATAAAGATTGTTTTTTTTTAATTATTTATTTATTTTATTTTCTTTATGGTGTATATATATAGGTTGATGGAACATGGCATATAAGGTGCACAATATTGCCACAAGAGGATAGAATATCAGCTATTATTACTCGTCTCACCAAATTCCACACTGAATTTATGGATGAATTCAGGGGCTGAATTATTTAATTTCAAGAATGACTATTTTATCCTCTACTTTTTTTAAATTTCAAGAATGACAATTTTGTCCTCTACTTTTTTTAATAAAGAATTGACTGAGTCCATTTGTGTACTTTGATAATTGGCTGAGGATTTGCTGTTGAATGAGAGTATCAAGGTTTTCTTGGTTTAATTGTTTAGGAATTCTTTTATCTTTTATTATTTGTTTGCTTCTTTATTTATTTATTTTAATATCGTATGGCATTCAAATAAAAAACATTAAAATCCAATATCATGTAAAAGACAATGTACACCTTTTACACAAAAATACACAAAATATTTCATCATATACATCGAGGGTAAAAATGCCATTTCAACTCAATTTTAAGCTTGAGAGATCTTAATCTTACCAGTAAAGTGAAACAATTAGCAAAAATCAAACACGAAAACCCGAAAAAAACATCTCACAAAGAAGAGCAGGATAATAAGTCCAAATAAAAAAAAAAATCAAATTCTTAAAGTGATGAGAAAGTTTAACATAACCCTAAACACGCGTATTCTTGTATAATCCGAAACTTAGACAAATCATTTAACATAGTAATACTACAAAATCAATGTCCGTACATAAAAGATCGTTAAAAATAGATCGAAGGAGTTTTCTTCTCATAGGCGGGCGATAACTGCTTCGACTTCAGAAGGCGAGTAAAGATGGTATGTAGGCGATACCTTTGCAATGTCAACATTGTTCGGTGTAACCTGATGACAGCCAATCAGAGATAAGAGCCGTGTAAAAATATGGATAAGGGCATTAACGTAAAATCCGCATTATAAATCCACACACACGTACCTTTTCCTCCATAACTTGCTTCAGGATCGAAAGTGCAATCGTTTCAGCTTCGCTGATAGTTAGATCCTGTAATGCAGGTAAATCAAAATTTTGAAATATTTGCTTTTAGCTTCTTTTTTTGTTATTTTAGACATTCTTTTAGGCCTCGTTTGGTTGACAAGATAAGATTAAATAATCTACTGAAAACCCAATTATTTTATCGGACCCCAGGACGTGCAACAGAATATTTGCGGGTCGACCCGGTAAGTTATTGGGAATACCAAACATCAAATAAAGTCCAATTATTTAGTTAATCATGTCTAATCTACCCAACCAAACGAGGCCTTAAGGTATTAAACTACTCTAATTAGAGTTAGTTGCTGCAAGAAACTTCTAATTAGAGTTAGTTAAAAAAATTCAATTCAATAAATAAATTACCTTGTTGTACTGCTCCTGCAAAGAGCTGTCAGCACCTTCGGAACCTGATCCAATTGCTTTTGCATTACATTGCCAGAATGTGCCAGATGGATCGGTATAGTATCTGCGTATCGATTTTTCGGTTGAGTATAAGGGCAAAAATGTAATTCAATCCAAAATCACGGAGACAATGGTAATGAAATCCATCCAGGTTGAATGGTTGTTTCGAAGACTTGATTTTTAAATTTTGCCGATCAGTACGTAAAGAGTCTTATTAAGATGTGATTAAATAGATAGGATGTCTGCCGATGATAACACATTCGACAACTAAAACCCAAATGTCACTGAATTATTTTTATTTTTTTACGAAATTTCGTATAAATTAGGAAACAAGATAGGAACAACAGTTTGCACGCATTTCATCCAATTAAAAAAGAAGAAATACTTACAGGCTGGGACCATTCTCATCGTGACCAGCAATTAGAAGAGAGACACCAAAAGGTCTCGACTGCATTATAGTAGAAGGAACGAAAATTAGATAGAAAAAACTAAAATTCAAATTTGTGTTTTGTCCAACAGCAAAAGATCAAATGAACCACGAAACAATCCACTTAGGACTCATTTGGTTGCCAAGATAAAATTAAATAATCTAATGAAAACCCAATTGTTTTACTGGACCCCGGAAGGTCCGACAAAAAGCTCTCGAAAAGGCATGATAACATAATATTGCTGGGTCGACCCGGGGAGTTAATGGGTTTACAAAACATCAAACAAAGTCCAATTATTTAGTTAATCATGGATAATATCCCAAACCAAACGAGGCCTTAATTTACTACATAGTTTTGGAACTTGTGCATCACAATTCACTCCATCGAGGCATGAATATATATGCATCTTTTCAAGAATTAGCACGTCAAAAAATGCAGTATAAGACGCTAATCGAGTAGACGAAGCAGTAGAGATTCCGCAGAAGCAGCTCTTAGAAAAACAGATTGAAATTATATACTCAAATCGGAGAACGCTAAATGATATTAGTGGTTTATGCATGTTAATGAGATAACTGTTGTATTATAACAAAACCATGTGCAAAAACGAAATGCCGACGAAATTGTTCTTCGACTAACCATTGATTCTTCATCTCCTTCACCAAAACGCAAAGCAAGATCGCAGAGAGCTTGAGTAGTGGATTCAACTGTCATGGGCTCACCATACGAGAACCTATGATTCTTGAAGATGCAAAAAGTGCCATATTAGCAACCAAAAAAAAAAAAAAAAAAAAAGAATAATTACACCAACAACATAGTATATCGGGCTTAAAGGTGAAATGTACCTGAGTTTCAACTCGCGCATGCTCAACTAGGGTACGTGCATCGGCAATCAAGCCGCTCATGGCACAACCAATGTGTTGGTCGATTTCCATAATTTTCTCAACACTGCTAGGCTCCTGCAAGAAACGAGCAAAAAAGTATGTAGCGTCAAGATAATCTCAATGTGACATTACATTCGATCATTCGCACAAACCAAACAACGGGAACTTGTCAATCTCATTTTAACTACTCCCGGTTATACATATGCAACTAAAACTCAAAATTACGGTTCCACCACTAGAGAATAAACAAAGCAAAGATCGAAAAGATAAAGCATACCAAAAGTGGCGATGTTATGCGCTTCTCAACAGCAAGAACAACTCCCTCCTTGGTTTTAACCCCAATTGCAGTCGAACCCAACTGAAACAAAACACAAACACTATGAATTTACAGACAAAACCCACATAAAATTACAGACAGATCATCAGTGTAAGAAGAATTAACCTTGATAGCTTCAATGGCGTACTCGACTTGAAACAATCGGCCTTCAGGGGAGAAAGTGTTCACTCCCCTATCATACTCAGTCCTTCAATTCATTCCAAAAAATAAATAAAAATTCAGCCCCAAAAGAAAACACCATTTAGGAAAAATCAAAAGAGCTGACCACGAAATGCGGATTGTAAATTTACCTTGTAAGAAACATTTTCGACGCTGCGCGGAGGAGGAGAGAGACTAGGGTTTTACGAGTAAAACTGTGATAATCCAAGAACTAAGCGGATCTGTGAACCCTAATCCACCTTAATTTTGAATCGAGAAGAAGAAGCAGCTTAGCAGGAATTAGTTTTCATATGGGTTTTTTCTTTTTTGATGTTTTGAGGTGGAGGAGCTTTTCTTCTTGTCGGGCAAGACAGCACCGAGAAAATGGATCGGGTATTCGGGTGACCCGGTTGCGGCTTGGTGTTGGGCTTTTCTTATTATTACAAAAGACCAATTTAGCCCAAACATTAATCTTATAAGTTATAACCTTGCAAAATTTGCTTAACTTTTTTTTTTTTTTTTTTTTTTAATAATTATAATTACACGTTCGTCTTATATTTATTTTATGATAAATTACAGCCATTCCTGATAAGATCAAATTACGAAAAAATATCTTATGTTTTGATAATTACAACAAAGCCCCTCAACTATGAATCTTCTTCCATGTTCATCCTTATAGTATCAAATTCAACATAATCTTATAGATTCCATGAAATGTTCTCTAGTTTGTACTTATTTTGTGCAAAAATGCAGTTTCTAGTGCACCACAGTCTAAGATTTACAAGCCAAGAGATACATCTTACGATCATCTTGTTTTAAAATGTAGAGCTCAAATGGGGTAAAACGGGTACAAATTGGAGCATATTTCACATAATCTAAAAAATTCCACTAAATATGAGACTGCAATGGTAGACGTGTAAGAAGATTTATAGTTGGGGGATGGTTTTAATTACCCAAAACTGAGGAGTTTTTTTATAATTTAACATTACCTCAAGGGTGGTCGATTGTTTACAAATATGACCCAATGAGAAAATACAAAGAGATTGATAAAAGAGTATATATACTATCAACTATGTTACTTTCTCTTGTTGCTTCATTTTTCTATCAAATTAAATTTGGATCATAAAATGCTATTCCATCTCATAAATATACAACACGTGTATACCGATGACAACGAGACGACGACGATGGTAATAATGCGGACGCGACAAATATCCGTAAATTAAAATACGAGATAAAATATCATTTTACAATAATTATTAGTAACCAGCCCAAATACACAAAACTTATCAACTATATCAACACCTCATATTATACATACAAATTCACTTACATCACCAATTGATATACACTTGACTTCCAAGCCAATAAACAATGGGGGGAAATTGTCTAAAAACAAAACATGTTTACAACAACAACAAAAAAAATTATATATTTAAAAAAAAAAACCTTTTTTGGGGAGGTCATCTAATATGTAGACCTGTGGGGGGGTTTTTTTTCATGGCTAAAACTTGCCTTGTTTTTTTCAATTCTTTTTTTCTAACAAAATAATCATGAATTCTAATTCTAAAACATAAACCCGAAAAACAACAGACAGGCGCTTCCACAGACACATCACAAGAAGCACGTAATAAACATGTAAAAAAACTGCAATGGGAATTTTAATTTCCCAAGTTTTAAGGTTTTTTTCACTCAGCGGAGGTTGTACTTTGTGCATTGTTGTTTTCTTCGAATAAATCGGTCTGCGACTTACTAGGAATGATTGTAGGAGGTGACCATTGATCCGGGACCATCAAGAAATAGGTTGTCATTGCTTTCCTGAATCTCTTTTTGTACTGCTTCGGAGAAATTATAGTTGGCATGGCGTTTTTGGGCCCACCAAGAATGCCCGATGTTTTAACCCAAGTCTCGAGATGTTTGTCCCATGTATATTGTCTCATGAAGTCTATAATACCAAGCACAAGCTCGTTTTTCTCTTCGTCTACCCCAACAAGCAGCGAATAATCCATCACATCTATCGACTGTGATAAAATTATATTTAATCAATATAATAATAATCAAGGTGGCTAAAGAGAAAATAAATAATAGAAGATAATGCAGACAAACTTACAGCGAGAAAAGCGGTATCGTTCCAAACGGCTCTTTCTAATCGTCTCTTGGCTTTATTTCCAACAAAAATCGGACAAGTGGGCATTGCTTCGATCAAGTTTTGGTCCAGCAGAACCTTGTTGCTTCCGGAAGAATCTGGGTTGTACCGTGACCTTGTAGATCCTTTAAGATCATAAAGCCGAGTGAGATTTCTTCGGAAAAGAAGATTCTCCATTACCAGCACATCCATTTTCGACTCCTTTCCGCCTTTAACGTGTTTGGTTGTAACCTTTTTCAACAGAAAAAGAAGAAAATCATTCATGATGTTTCGGAAAGTTATAGCAAGCAAACGCAATAAAGTACTAACACAGTTTGATTCTAATGAGAATATTCCATATCCATCATCATGCAAACTAAAATTATCAATACCAAAAATTGGATTTCAAAATAGGACCATGTAAAATTATTAATAATGTCTATCAATGAAAGAAACTCTCTGTTTTGTAATGCAAGTGATGAGAAGAGAAACTAAGAGAAAAATGCTTGTTGTGACTAGGGGCGGAAATTGGAACGGAATTTTTTATAACTGCCAAATCCGATCAGAAATTTTCAGATTGTGGAACAATTTTTTCCACCCCTAGTTGTGACAATAGCAAAATAAACAAATTATAGTGATAAAGATTCAACGGCTCGGAAAGAAAAAAAAACCTGATAAATCCCAAGAATCTTTGCCAGGCATGTCGGACTTCCAGTACCAATTGATTCAGAAAGATACTTAAAATATCCAGGAGCAAACTTGATAAACGATTCGAGCTCAGTCTTAGTCACTTGCTTAACGATAAACCGATCGTCCAAAGTTTTGGCAAAGAAGACATTGCTCTTACCACCTTGCGCTCCCCATTTCTTACACCGGCTCAGAGATCTAATGTAATCAATCTCCGTCGGACAACATATCCTCCTCAAGGCCTCGAAACGTTTTGCGTAATAACAAGTAACACTGTATTTCACCTTCCCATGGGGTCCTTCATCCGCAAAAGACACCCTCGCATGCAAAGCCTTCGTATAAGAGAGCGGATCCAAAGGCAAGGAGTTACGAGAATAAGTCGAGGACAGCATGAACTCGTCTACAGATCCAAGGCTTCTAGAAGTTTCCAGCATCAGTTCGTCCAGCGAGTGAAACGACTGAAAACTCGCAGAGTCAAGAGACTGCATGGAGTAAATCGAGTCTGCTGTGTCCTTCAGCCTCTCTGGCTCATCTGACAGCTGGACGAGGTATTCAGGTGTAAGAAGCGCATAGGATATGACACTTGTCGGTTCGTCGTCGTAAATCGGAATAACGGTGTCGTTGACACCCACAGGCAGGAGAAGCTTGGCCCCACCTTGGATTTCCGACTCGCGGAAGGATGAAATGTAAATGGGGTCGTATTCGCCGACTGTGTCCAGTTTCTGAGCGTTGCCTAGGAAATTCTTGTTCAGTGATCTGTAGAAAGTCATGAACGACATGCCCAGCCAGCTGGCGGTGTCTTCAATTTGGTCTGAACTTTTGTAAGCCATAAAAGACGGTGAAGGGGATAGTTTAGGCATGTTCACGTTTACATCCTCGATCCTATGGTCTTCCACGTCTGGCTTTACGGACAATCCAACGGTCGATATATTATTATAGACTTCAACTGCTTCATTAAGGTGGTTTTTGCCGGTCCATGCTGCATCGAGAGTATCTGGCAAACAAATTGGAGCTTGCCCTTCAGACAGGGTACTAGGATGAGTAGTAACATCAGATTCCATAGTATCAGATTCATCAGTGGCTTTTGTCCCAATTGGATCAGAGTTGGAAAATGCATCTGTTTTTTGATGAAGTACCGGGGATTGATCTCCATCTTCAGGGATTGGTACAGGTTTTGCTTCCACTGCAATAGGATCAGAGTAGTCGAATACTTCGACTGTCTTAACTGGGACATTAATATGTAAGAGCTCATCTGTAACAGAGAGGGGTTTCTCGTTGGATTCTGAAAAGGTGGGCTCCATGTAGTCTGGTTTGTTCTTTTTATCCAAACTATCTGCATAGAGCAGGCGGTGGTCCCACACAAAAGACTGGAACACCAGTTGTCTTCTGAGTCGATTGAGCTCGAGAATATCAATGGCTGGTTGACCTTGTTTTGCTTCTTTGTTCCAAATTTTCTGGAGCGACTCCTGCCAAATTTCAAACGCCAAATTTCAAACATCGTTCAGCACCCACATACTTAAAAGGGGATCTACTCAAGAGGGGAATCTCTCAATGTAGTTTCGCGTTTAATCTTTTGATATAGACAAGAAAACTAAGCATTCTAAATTAATACGATACCTCGAATTCAGACTTCTCTCTCTGCAACATCCCTTCTAGATCTGTTAAATGTCGTCTAAATTCAGATACCTCCATGCCACTATTGAGCAGATTCAATCCAGATCTTTTTTCCACCAGAAGGCGAAGAGCATTAAGCACTTCAGAGAACAAAAGCTCAGCCCGACCAGCAACCTGTAAGATTATTAGGACAGTTAGAGTTTTGGAAATCTGAAACGGAAGCAAAAACAAACAAGCATACTCATTTCACCTCATTCCATTCTTGTTCTATCCAATCCTGACTTTCATAGTTGAAATCAAGTTTCGCAGGAGGCAGGTAGACAGAGTGAACATCAATTGATGCATACCGAAAGCAAGCAACCATTTTTCCAAATCTGCATTTAAAGCAACATCGTAAAGCATTCACAATAGGCCACAGACATTAAATGAATATCCCAGTCCAACTGCTTGAATGATATTTTTTATTTATTCTTGAGTTTTTCGAGATTCATAAAAAAGTGAAACATATAAACGACTGTCAAAATGACCAGACGATACAAAAACGACGGTCGAGAGATCATACCCGTAAAACCGAAGACAGTCTCTGTGTAGAGAATGGCCACAGCTTGCCACTCTGCTTGCAGCGGCATGATTTGAAAAGCTTAGCTCCAAAAATTTTCCGAAGGATAATCCCCATGCAGCATCAGACATCAAAACCCTTCGAGTTGCAGGTGGAAAGCCATTAGCTCTTGGACACTTTAGGCAACGGTGCCACATCCAAATCTTTCCATCCTTCTCACCGGGCAACAGAATTTCCGACAGTTTCTTAACTGAGATCGTAAGGGTACCTTGTCGATGAGTATAGCAATCAACATGAGCTTCTGCGGGCATCTCACATGAGCGGCATCTATAATTCTGTCACAAAAGATTAGACCCTCACAGTCTGAAACGAACCTAGAACATGTGTAACAACAGATATAATTCTTTTTTTTTCAGAGGGAGAGTGATGTACCTGATCAAATAAATGATCTCGTAAATAACGACCCAAAGGCTTGTCATTGTTTCCATAGTATTTGATCCGGAGAAGATGAGATCTTTCACAGACAGTACCCTTCCACACACATCGAGATGACAAGGAAAGCAAGATGCTTAGATGGTCTGACGGGGAAGGTGCAAACTCTTCTATTGAAGTAGAATGTTCCTCGAGAATTTGAGGTTTGGAGTCAAGTTGCAATGCGGGTATCTTTAAAACACCTTTATTAATTGACACGAATGTGGTATTTGAATCTTGAAAATCATTACTGAATAACTCTCCTTCAAAACTATTTGCCTCCAAAGTCCTGGCTAAATCTATAGTGCTTGTTTCTCCTAGTGCATGGCCAAGAGAAGGGTCGTTCATAGACGAATATTGAAAACCTTCAAAAGAAGATGAGGCAGGGAGGCACTCAGCGTGCTGAGAACTCGTTGGAGCAAGAAGGTTAGATGTCTCTACATGCTCTCCATGAATGGAAGCAATTGTTGCTTTCAAAAGGTCTGGATTGGGCACACTACGTGACCTCTGTGGTTCGCCGACAGGTTGAGGGCCAGGAGATTTCTCATTTTCTGGGACCGTAGAATGCGGTATAACTGAAATGGACCTATCAATCCTTTTTGATGGCTTATCAAGAAGTGCCCCTGTGATTGAGGCACTCAACGGAAGTTGTGGCAGAGAGGCACCTTCATCGGCAAGAAAAGATGTCTCCAGAGCAAGGTGATAAGCCGCAAAAACTCCATATTGTACAACATGCTTCACTTTCTTCAACTCATCCCCATTGGCACCTCGAAGTAATATCTGAAATCATTAATGAGATATATTTAGATCTTCACTGAACTCAGAAGCCAAACTTATGCACCCCAGGTAATTAAAACAGCATTTGCAGTAACGTCAATATAATGTTTGAAAATACAGCTGATCGCCCATAAGAGTTGAGCTATTAAAATATAAAAATATTGGTATTCATGTATAGATTGTGACAACTCACTGTGTAACCTAGTGGCTTTGGACATCCTTCGAAATGCATCAATGTCTTCACCAGCTTCTTTCCAGCCTGATGAGCACTGCCATGCTCTTCCAAATACTTCTCAACACGGAACATGTCACAATGACCTACTTTCTGGGATGACAGATGATCGATTGAAGGAACTATTTGGCCACCTGTGCACCGAGCTATACGCTCGAGAAGCGGCTTTTTTATATTAAGAACAAGCGAGATATCTTTTGCAAGAAGGTAATCCTGTGCATATCGGGAAACAGATTTTTCAACCAGAAGAATATCGGGATTATGTGCATCTATCTTTGCAACAGCCATCTTAAGATGATCCATTTCCTGGGAACAGATGCAATATAAAAACAATAGTATGAGAATAAACTACAGATTATTACCAAGCAATTAAAATGTTTCTGGATAAATAAATGGCCAGAAAAGTTTAATGGACTCAACCTGCTGCAACAGAGTATCAAAGCTAGAAAGAGCATTAGAAACCCGCTGGTATTCAAGAGCCCCTCCAAGTATCAGCAAACGAGGTTTCTCAATTTTTGATGTCATTCGTCGATGAGCCACATTTTTCTTGCAAACAACTCCTTTGACCACCATACTATTCCATAAAATGGATCATTAATAAGAAAAAAATAATTGTTACAAAGATACATGAGAAACAAAGCCAAATGTATTCGTCAGCAGTAGAACTAAAAAAATGAAACAACCTTAGAAAATATTGAGTACATTGGTAGTAGTTACAAAAGAAAAGCTGCTGAAGCATAGAGATGCTGCTTTAAATGCATATAGTGCATCCTACATTCAATGTTAGATATTCCATTGGGCTAGAGTTAATGAACTCAATATAGATCTGTAGAAATTAGAAAATGCCTACGTCAAGTCATATCCATTTGAGCTGATATTAAAACACGGCCATTCCCTAATGCAAACCTCAATCAACCAAGAAAGTATTTTATATCTTAAGTCAACCAGAACAGCCTGCGTCACATACAGGAAAACAGATTAACTTGTCTAGGGGATAACTTTCTGTGAATGAGAATGTTATATTATCCAAAGTATCCAATAAAACCATAGAAAATAATTAAGAGAAAGACGAATATTTCGGTGAATTAGTTCTCCATGGATTGTAATCTAATCAATTTTCCGTTAAGGCTGATTCAATGAGATGTCCGTAATTCAACACATTAACTATTTTTCTTTTACTCTTTTCACAATCAACACATTATTAATAAAACTAATAAACATTGAAACATATAATTTTTCAGCCCAGAAAATCCAAAAGTAATTAACACACACACTCAAATCGTTACCTCTCACTTCGATGTCCAGAAGCTAAGCATTTCACTTTAACATAACCACCTGGATCCATTTGCCCGCCTTTGCTCATATCTGGCTTCAATAACGTAGCAGCCTCCCATGACAATGCCGTGATTATTTCTAACCAACTTTCTTTGTCATTTTCCTCCCCTGGAGTAATATTCTCCACCTGCAAGAGCTGAGCTACTAAAGCTCGAAAATGACTATCAACCACATTCTTCATGGCTCTCTTGTGCTCCTCATTTGACTTGTCCCTGTTTCTAAATTCCCCACTCCCAAAGCTGTTTGAATTACGTAAATACCCCCATTCTCCAACAGCATCCCCATCATCATCATCGTCATCATCATCAAATAGAAGTGCTTCCTTTTCATCTTCTTCATCTTCTGGATCAGGAGGGAGCCAGAGATTTCCATTGTTTTCAAAATCCACAGGTTCAGTATCCATATCTTCATTCACGTATAAAGAAGGTGCCACACATTCGTCACTAATATCATGTTCAACATCCTTTTGCTCAACATGCTGGACTTGTTCAGGATCTTGAGAATCGATAATATTCTGTAGTGAGTAGCTTCCCATACTTGAATCAACAGCATCTCCAGCAGGATGAACTTTACGTGATTTATATTCTTTGTCAATGTCGTCATAGTGAACACGACCAAAGTAACCTATGTGAGACACTCCAAATTCTTCATCTTCATCATCACTTCTGTTTTAAAAAAGAATAGGAAAAAAAAAGAATGTAAATGGATGATGATAATAACCTACAAGTTTAGAATGAATAAACAAAATCAGGAGGGTAGTAATTGAAGGCTTAGAAAAATAAGCTCTCGGGATTTTGATGGCACATACAACTCCAACACGAATAAATGTATACTACTTGCACAGTGATAAGCACCATTACACCAGTCCTAAATCACTGAAGAAGTCCTTACCTACCCTTCCGACCAAAAAAGAAAATCCTTATACAGAAACTAACCTTCCTCAAAAGAACAGAAAAACAAGTAAAGAAGCTTATACGTTTGACTCCAAATCAGTTATGATACATGCATTCTTAAGAATTGCACAGAGATCAGATAGTGTCAAAATTACATGCAGCAGAAGAAGATACAAACCCAAACGCAACAATTGTAAAGTAGCTTCTTTCATTTGTATCAGGTTCCTACACATAGTAGAGCCATCATACAATAAGAAATTACATGCAACAGAAGCAGTGAACGGAAAAAACATAGACCATTATTATAAAGCAATTCCCATTTGTCTGAGGTTCTTACTTATAAGGAATAACGGAGCAGACTTATAAACCACAAAACTCTAATTCTGTAAATGAAAAATAAAAACAAATTTCGGGTTCAAATGTCTATGCTCAATTCAACCTAGAGCCACACACTCAGTAACAAAATCCGGAAGGGGACTGACTAGCTAACTTAACATAATGTGATTTCACTAATTAGGCAACCCAAAAAATATATTACAATCTAGATCTATCACAAATATGTTGCTTAGTTCGATACGCAGAAAGAGGTATGCGGAAAGAACCTGTTTGGAGAGAATCCAGATTGGTTTTGAGACAGGTTCTGTTCTCCAAAGTCCACGGCACGATCCATGGCTGCATCACTCTGTCCTTCTACAGTTGTTTCCATTATTATTTCCTCCGATAAAATTGGGCTAAATCCAGCAGACTGTGGCACTGAAACAAACGTAACGCTACTGCTGTCACAGGTTCCACTCGACTTAGAGCTAACGAAACTAGTAAATGATGTGGAACTACTGATGAGATCCAGGCTGGCCACCTGGACGCCATTTTCAACTGGCTGTGCCGCCAGTCCCTGCCGCCATTGCCGGAAACAGTAATTACAGGCCCTGATCTTCTCCCACTCTTCTAGTGGAGCGTTCGGTGGTTCGGTGGAAGGTGCGGGCACCCAATTCGAAGTACACTTGCCGCAGAAAATCCGGCCACAGAGGCGGCAATGGTGCCTACGGTTGAACAAGGTGAACTGTGAATCGCACTCGTAGCATACCCTACAGCTCTCATCGGGCATCCAAAAATCCCTTGACACGTGTGTGGGCTCCGCCCGCCAAGGGATCCATGATTTGAGTAACCCTATCAGATCGGAGAATGTCCTGTTCGGAGAGTCCATGGACTTGACAACCCGTTTTTCCCTCTCATTGTAATATTCTCATTTCCTTCCAACTCCAATATCCATTTGTAACCCCCGCCCCCAAGTAACGAAACGGAATACGCGTCAAATAATCCAGTTACGAGGTCAATCAAAGTAAAACCAATTCAACAATGGAATCCCTCAGATTCCTCACCAAATCACTGACTAGAAAAGCTGCAACAAGTTTCGATCCTCTTCGATTTCGAATTCTAGTAAAATCGACAATCTAACGCCTTCTCAGTACTCAATCAGACACAAAGCCCAAATTGGAAATGAATTTATCCCAATAACCACTTTCCTTGGTCAATAATTCAAAAACACATGAACACAAACCCTAAAATAAAAAATCCCAATATCTGAACTTATTAATTCTGAATTCCAGCAGTGACCCAGTAACCGAAACTCAATTCACAACAATAAAATCACAAAAAAAAAAAACAAAAATCCCCCACAATTAAAGTAGAAACTTAAATAAAATCGAGCCCCAAATCAAAACCTGGACGCCTGCAATCTTCGAAGTAAATTGAAATCAATTCGATCCAGCTTCAAACCCTAATTCACCCAATTCACTCACAACGCATAAATTCGGATGATTTCCTCTCTTATTGAAGAACAGCTCAGCATGCCTCTTGATTATTTCTCCCCCAGTGAATAAATCAACAATCACGTCAACATCACAGACGCAAAGATATTTAAATAAACATTGAATAATTTCTGCATACTAATAAAAAAAAAAAAAATTAAATATGGAATTTTCGTCGAAATAGACTGTCGGAAATGTGTGCTGGGCAGTAATTGATTGATATTCAAATAAATGGAAATGGATTTCCAATACCAAATTTATTGGAATTTATCAGACAGAAGAAAAAGGAAAATGCAAATTAGTTTCCACGGTGGATATTAGTTTCGTTCGGAATTCTTACAAAAGTCAACAATCAAAAAGTCAGATCTTTTTGATCTTTGTATTAACTTCTATTTTTCAATTTATTTTCTTCCGTATTTTAGATTCAATTTTCATGTAATAAAAATTTTATTCCATGTAATAAATTATATTGTCACTACTCATTTT